ACGTTGATGCTTTTGAACAGAAGCCAGGAGTTGGCTAAGTGCTTCTGGCTCTACACGCTGCGGGCTGAGGCAGCAGGGCCGGGTGGCAGCAGTGGCCACTCTAAAGGTTAGAATCCCTTACCTGGATGTTCCATTCCTCCCGTGCCTGGCTCGGGGGAGGGGAATTGCAGGCAAACATATAGATCAGGCATGTCAAACTTGAAGCCCACTGAGGGCCACAAATGAAAACTGATAGCTTGCAGAGACACCAAAGAAAATGTACTTCCATTGGAAAGTTGTAATTATTTATTATTATAGATTATGTTTTAGGTATATTTTATAATATTTTTATAATTATAATATAATTAATATATTTTATAATCGAATAGTATAGATTATGTTTTAGGTATATTTTATAATATTTTTCAGGTCTTGTTTTAATATAGTACAATAATTTGATGTCTAAAATTGTTATTTAGTCAAAATAATTTTTAATTTAAATATAAATTTAAGGTACTTTTAAATTTTGTATATGATACATAACTTGTTTTGTTGAAATAAAAACAAGTATAGACCATGGTCAATCAAATATAGATTATGTTTTAGGTATATTTTATAATATTTTTCAGGTCTTGTTTTAATATAGTACAATAATTTGATGTCTAAAATTGTTATTTAGTCAAAATAATTTTTAATTTAAATATAAATTTAAGGTACTTTTAAATTTTGTATATGATACATAACTTGTTTTGTTGAAATAAAAACAAGTATAGACCATGGTCAATCAAATAAAACAGGCTTCTGTAAAAATTTCAGATACTTTGTAAGTTTGAGATTTTGCATAAACATATAATTATTTGTGCAATTGCAAAAATTGACATATATTTAATATAAATTAATATACATTTTGTGATTTTATTTGGAAATAAATAAATAAAAACCAAAACATTAACAAAATATCCCCCTCCACTGCCCCAGAGCCAGGCACTCCCATATCCCTGTTCTAACCCAATTCCCCTCTGTTCCCCCAAAGAACACCCCTCTAACCCAACACCTCCTCCTTCCCCAGACCCAGGCACTCCCAGCCGCTCCCCCCCATACCTAATACCTGGGTCCCAGAGCCAGTGTCGCTGCCGCCACACATTTCTTCCTCAGGTGCTGGGGAGGTGTGAGCACAGCAGCAAGCTGTGAGCAGGCACTTGATGCCTATGCAGAGCAGCCCAGCCAGCCGTGATCTGCACTCGGCCATGTGCTCCAAGTGGCCAGTGGGCCACACTTTATTCTTTTATAAAATGTTGTGGCAGGCCCCAAAAATTTTGATTGGGCCACATGCAGCCCACCAGAAGCCTGTTTGACATGCCTGATGCAGATGGTATCATGAGCTTTTGTGGGCACAACCCACTTCTACCCACGAAAGCTGATGATACCATCTACATAAAGGGTGGGAAATAATTTTTGCCCGAGGGTCACTTCGAAAATTTTTGAAGTAGCTCTGGGTCACCACGGAAGGGACTAAACAGGAAGGGGTGGGGCTACCCAGACCATGATTGGTCTGGGGTGGGGGAGCCCCTTTGCCTCCTCCTTCCCACTAGGCACCTATGTCTCTGGTAGGGCAGGAGGAGTCTTTGTGTGCTCGCCCACCCCCAGGCCAATCAAGGCTTGAGGACGGGGGAAGCGCGGGAAGCCTCCTCCTGACTTGTGAGGAGCACGTGGTGCTTGGAAGTGCCGTGTGCTGCTTGCTGCGTGGCAGAGCAGAGACAGGCAGAGCAGAGACAGCTTCACGTGCTCTCCCAACCCAAGCCCTAATTGGCCTGGGGGTGGGGGAGCATAGGGCCTCCGCAGACTGGATCTGACTCATGGAGGCCCTTTTGCCTACTTCTGGATCTACTTCTGGATGTTTTGTTAGTCTTTAAAGTACTACTAGACTGTTTTGTTGTTTTTTAAGTTTTTCCCATTACAGACTAACTCAGCTACCCCTCTGCAGCTTATAAAAAGCATTCTGTACTATTCCATTCCTTTTTGCCTCCCTGTTTCCTTTCTCCTTTGGTGAGTTGGGCGGGCAGGAATTTTGGTAAAAATGCATCAGACATGCAAACAGTGCCCGCTCTACCTCAGCTGGTGCTGGATAATCAGAGCCTCAATTCTAAAGGAGTTGGCATTACTGAAGTGATAGATCACCCCACGTTTTGTTGCCGATTTTCCATCTCCCAGTCATAGCAGAGACTTGGGATTAACGTGGCTTTCTCAACTAAAAGTCTTATACATGTTCGGATGTTGTGATTGTAAACACCTGGAGAGGCAGTCTGCTCAAGGCAAAGTTGGCCTTGAATCTTGATATCTATGGCTTCAGTTGGATGGCTTGTGTGAAATTTGGAAGAGCAGGTCAGAGAGACCTCTCTCCTTTACTAAGGATAGAATCTCATGGCAGCCTGAAGGAAAAAGTCCTTATGGCAGACAGAAAGCCACGCTTGCAGGGTATCCTCAGCCTTGGGCTACTTATTGCTTCAAGTGCCTCCAAGAAAGCGAGGGTGTGTGTTGTGTGTTAGTTTTATTTAAAAGTTTTTCGGAGTGTTACTTTAACAGGTAAGTTAATCTCTTACATTGATAACTCTCGTGGAGTTTTTTGCTGTGCGATAATGTGAAAAACAATTAGGTTAACTAGGTAAGTAAATGAGCAGTTAGGAAACATTACAGATTGCTTATAATAAATGTATTAGGTATCTTGCTAGTCTTTAAAGTGCTACATAACTTTTTTTCTTTGTTTTACCAAGATTCAACTAACACGCTACCTCTCTATTACAATAAATGTGATATGCTCAAAATCTTTTTTACTTTTATTCATTAAAGCAATGTGTTACTCATTTGCTATAACAGTGGTTTTAAATGCTTGAATGAAATATAGTGATGAAATTCATATTTAGGTTGTATAATATTAACGTCTCATGTTTTATAAAACTTACATAAAAAAAGTCAAATTCTTAAATATGTAAAAGACATGAACCTAATGAGAACAGGATATGAACAAATTAAAGAGAAAAAAATATTTAACAGACTGTAAACCACAAAACTATATAATTTATATGTCTGTAGTTAGTAAAATAAGTAATTCGTTAAACAATAAATATCCTAAGAGGTGGATTATTTACAGTGGTGTAGTGAGGAGGGCGTGGGGAGGAGGGAGAGGAAGTGGCCCCTGGGTGCCACACTAGTGAGGTGCCAGTATAGTCCCCCTACACTCCCCCTGTTTTTCCTCTGCTCACCTGCTCCTCCTCTGCCTGCCACCTCTGGCTGGAGCTACCTCCTCCCCACCTTTCTGCCTCCAGCCCGACTCCCTCCACCTCTGCCACAGGATTAGTGCATACAGGACCCAGCCCCAAGCTGGAGGGGGTCGGGTAAGACTTGGTACAAGCTCCCCCAACTCCTTGAGCTCAGCTATGCGCCAGGTTTGAGGCCCCACCATTTGGCAGGAGGGGGCGCCAATTTTGCCTTTGCCCCCGGGCGCATAAAACCCTTGCTATGCCTCTGGTGCTGAAAATGGTAATCTTGGTATAATTACGAGCAAGTACATGCCAGCACAAACAGAGGTACCGCGTACTCTCAATGAAAGACTACTTCCCTATCTAGGTTTGAAATTGCATTCTACACACTTATATAAAGGAAATCTGCATATTTTAAAATACTAGAGGACCACTTATTTCCCCCATTGGCTATTAAGTGCATGATCCTGTCTTATGGAAGAATATCCTCATCCTACTTCACTACCCTACCAACCGAGAACACATTTTACTTTTCAGTGCCATCCTGTTCCTTTGGCTAAGTCCTCTGCAGAATTTCCCTTTATATATACTAGAATTACCCATCCCATTGTGATGGTAGACCTGATGTGCTCCTGCCTGTCCTGGGGTCTATGCAAGTGCGTCTTACTGGGTTCTTTGGCCTTGTATTATATGCTGTTCTTATCGCCTCTCTTTGTTCCCTCTTTCTCCCAGTCCTCAATCTCCGGCATCTAGTGGTCCGGCACTCCTGCTAGTCGGGCACCACCTGGAACCCGGAAGTGCTCTGGCCAGCCGGACAATTGGAGCTGCTCTGCCCCCGGCTTCCCCAACTCTGACGCTGGTCAGTTTCAGCAGCGGTGGACTTGGGGAAGCCCTGGGGCAGAGCAGCTGGAGTGCTGCCAGGTTGGTCCCACAGCACCACCCTCTCCCATGCTAAATAGTTCTCCGCCAAAACCCCCCACCCCAGACCCCTCATAGCCCTCCTTCCGGTACTCCGGCATATCTGATAATCTGGCACCCCGTGGGTCCTAAAGGTGCCGTATTATCAGAAGCTTACTGTTATCAGTATTTTCTCTTCCTGTAGTTTTCATCCTATTCTTCTCTCCCCTGCTCTGCCATCATACTGCTCACCCACGAACTCACTGAAAGCCACTTGCATCTCCTGCATGCCCCATTATGCTGCTTTCAAGCCTCACATGCCACACTTTGGTGTGGGGATGGGAAGTAGGAGGAAATGGAAGCTACAAGCCCAGCCCACCTTATCCTACTCTATCCTAACTTCTCAAGTCTTCCACGTTTTCTCGAAGGTTCTCTGTGACAGATGGTATGACAGACACCTCTCCTTTTATAATAGTATAGATTCCTATAACATTTTACCTCTGCCCTTACAGACAGCTGCTGATTAGCTCCACGCTAGTTACCAAGAAAGTGGACATCTGTTGTCCATCCTTGCCAAGTCAGCAGTAACACTTACAATGAACCGATGGTTCACCAGGCATCATGTTCTATGCCTCATACATATACTTCATGTCATCTATTGATAAACGTACCGTCTGCCTCAGCTGACCTAAGTTTATTAGAAAGCAATAATGAAAAATCAAGCTATCAGAGTATCATATCCCTCTGCCTGTACTGGAAACTGCAGCAACAGAACAAACATCACATAAGTAGTATTACCAAAGTAAGGTAAGTGTGGATACCTTGACTGCAAATTAGCCCATTCAGGGTCTTCTTCAAAAACACCCTTAAGGAAGCGCTCCTGTCGCAATCTTAGGGTCTTCCCTTCACATTTAACAAGAACCAGTGGGATCCCTTTCTGAAGCGTCCAAGTGTTCATCATCTCTTTGATCTCCATAAGTTTTCCCATATGGCCGAACTGAAATGACCACAGACAATGACACACTCTAAAGCATCCCCCCAAATAAATCTATGCACATTTGAGCTTGCAAGCCAGATAACCAGCGCTGACAATCTGATAGACTGGTTTGCCTTCTGACTCTGGGAGCTAGCCAGGACTGAATGATCAGTAAGTTTCCAGGAGACTCAAGAAACCACAGCAGTCCTGGTACACGACATCCATTTAACAAATAATAGCAGAAAACTTTATTGCCAGAAAGCCAGTACAGGTATGTGCATATGAATTGTAAGAAGATCTTTGGGAAGCACAGATTTCCCAGTCCATCTTCTCTGCTCCCCAGACAGAGGGTGTATTTTTTGGATAAATCTGGATATATATGTTTTTCTAATCTCATGCCTAGTGCTTGTCTACACTACTCCAAATTTGACTCAGAAAGGTTAAATTTAGTGCCAAGCCTCTTGTCAAGGGGGAGTATATCTGTTGATTTAAAAAAACCTGTAGGTCAGTAGAAGGGACTTAGTGGTGTAGACACATTTATTATAAAATCGACCTTACACAGCTTACTTTGACTTAACCTCATATTGTAGACCAGGGTTAAATGTAGAACTGGGAGACACTAGAACTGTGTTCCATTCCTGGATGTACCATATGCTTTCTGTCACAATATACCTAACTGCAAGTAATGAATAGCTTAATTTCAAAGGTGCTGTGTAAGGTCATAAACCTCAATTTGGATCAAATTCTTGTATGCATTGTGGCCAATCTGTGCTCAGACACCTGTGTATTTCTGGAATATTCCAGAATAAAAATGGAGCATGCAATAACAGCATTCAGAAAAAGACCAATTGACCAATAATCTGTTGTCTAGCAAGTGACATTCAAAGCCATTCCTTTCTTCTAAATTTTGTCTCTTTTTTGTTTTTTTAATTCACTCTTCCTCATGGCAAACATATCTCTAGTGAATAAAGCAAGTGACAAGCTCCACTGCACTACAGTTTAGATCCAGGATACACATTTAGTAAATGCAGCATATCTAGAACTACTTTCTCAGAGTCTGAGTGCATCAAGTCAAGGACAAGCTGAGCAGTTACCAGTCTGAAGAATGGAGATGCAAGTTTTGTTTTCTAAGCCCTACAATCAGCAGTCAGCCATCTTGTCTGTCTGATGCTTTACCTTCCAATAATTTACTTACTGTGTTGCCAAGGGGCCTAGAAGCTGTATAGCAAAAGTTGCCAGAAGAGAAATCACTTTCAGAACATGTCTGTAAAACATAAAAGAAAGGTGAATCCTAACATATTTAACATGGTTTCAGAAGAGTTCATTTAAAAAAAATCAAAGAGACCAATCAAATAACTTAATACATTTGAAGTTACAAATGCCATTCACTAAACAAAAGGCTACTAATGACAGATCCCCACCAATGTTTCTTACTGTCTCATTTGAGCATATTGAGTAGGTATGTTTGTACAAGGATAAGTTTACCAGTGACAAACAACATATCTATATATTTGCAACTGCTGCACACATGTTTATTGCGTAAGTCTTCCAGTCTATATAGCTGTGAGTTTTGTTCATCCATCTATGAATCCATCTGTCTAGGTGTCTGTCTGCAAGTCCATTTGTTTAAGAACTCCTCCTAAACAGTAAGAACCAGGGACACCAAATTTGGTATGCAACTTCTTCTTCTCTTAACTTAAAGCAAGGTCAGAGTTTGGGTATGCCAGGACAAATGGAAGCCCTGGCAAAGGGACAGTTTTCTATAACATGCAAAGGGAGAGGCTGCTTCTGGAGGGATGCAATAAGGAAAGTGGCCACTGTGGATAGTGAACCTGCAGGGGAGAGCTAACATGCAGAGTGTCCATTGGGGGCACCACCAAGGGAGTGGCCAACAGGGCTGGTGCTCTACCACTTGCCTGCCAGCATACTGGTGAGTAGCTCCCTTGCCCCAAACCCTTTCCCTCCCTCTGGCCCTTGGCCACAATGCCTTGGGGTGAAGGGAGAGAACAGGCCCCAAGAGGGCTGGGAGGGTGACCGGGGGAGGGAGAAGAGAGACTAGGCCCTTGGCCCCCAACTCTTGCACCCTCTCCCCACATCCTCAAGGACCAAAGCCCTCCCTGACAGACTCAGGCAATGCCAGGTAAGTCTGCTAGTATAACATATTTCAGCAACGAACAGAACGTGCATTGGCCATGCTGTTCCACAAGTCATCATTCTTTGCATTTGTGTAGCTGTATGTCTTCAAGTAGTGAATTATTCCTTTTTGAAACACCTCCTCCGATAGGAAATCTTTGAGCATCTTCAAAATACAAGCTCCCTAAAATAGGGAAATAGCAAATATTCAAATAAATTTTTTATTGCATTCCTTTACTCATGTGTTGTTTAGTCAGTGATGGTTAAATTAAGAGCTTAAAGTATATTGCTAACCTGGTTTGAACAGAACAATTGCTTCAGAGATATGCACTGAATATTTTCGTTAGCCAGGTGAAAATGGGTATTCAAGACATGATGCCCAAAGACATACTCGTCATCTCTTTGGAGCATTCTGAAATGTCACAGCTACCATGGAGACCTATTTAGGGTTACCGGATGATTTAAAAAATATACTGGACACACTTGATCTCGGATGGGGGTGGGGACTGACTGGGAGGGGAACAGGGCTTGCTGGGAGGAGGTGGTGGGGAGGGGGCAGAATGACCAGCAAGAAGCAGGACTGGGCAGGATGGGGTTGGGGGGAGCGGAACTGGCCAGGGGAGATCAGGTGAAGGAACCAGCCAGCGGGAAGCAGGGCTGGCTGGGAGGGGGTTGGGGGTGGATTGGGGGGAGAAACCAGTCAGCGGGGAGCAGGGTTGGCCCAGGCACATGCAGATCCCAGGTCAGTACCTGTCCTGCACATGGTCCCAGTGGGGCTCACAGGCGAGTCTGGCCCCGAGGATTCCATCCCGCCCTGGCTCTGCCCCCCTCCTCTCTACTGTGTAGTTGCGTACTGACTGCCTGCCTGGCAGTGTGAGCGTGTCTACCAGCCAGGCAGTACGCAACTACGTACTGATACTCATGATAATAATAAAAAAATAATTAGAAAATAATGGACATTTATATGTCCGGTATTTTCTCAATTTGTTTCCCAGACAGAAAGCTCAAATTCCGGACTGTCCAGTTCAAAACTGGACACCTGGCAACCCTATACCTATTGGATTCTGGCAGTCAGGTCACTGGTAGTTAGCATAGCACAGAAGTGTTGAAATGTATTTGTAATATAGTTTTTGCCACTGTCTGATTTCAGTGCTCTCATACAATGTGAAAGGGTATCCCCCCTCATCCCAAAGAAAGTTGAATTGTCTCTATTGATAATAACCAAGGTTCTGTAATTTTGTATCTGACAGTAGATTCTACAGACAAAAAACTGCAAATATCTAGAAGTCATTAATGACAAATTTTCAGTACCAGCACATGGATTCTTGATTCACTGACTTTGGATTTTAGACAAAAGAACAGCTATATTAAAATAACGGGGATTAAAAATCTTGCTTGTGTATCTGTATACAGCCATATTGACTCTGGTTAATCTTATAGTTAAGATTGTTCTACAATGACATAACAAAAACACACGCCTTGTCACTTGGTTAGCTTTTCATTTGAAGGACCTCAAAATTCTTTATAAACTCCAATTAACTTTTTAGTACTAAAGAGTGTACATTCATGTTTGGGCAATTAACTAATTTAAACAGCTATTAAATAGACTGATTAATAAACTTAAATCAAGAGTTCACACAAATTCACATTAGTATTCTATCAGATTCCAGTGGGGATCAGATGCTGATCTGACATAGTGAAGGAATTCTGTATAAAGAGTAAATGCCAATGCTACATAAATTAATTTCTTTTATTGCTTGGGATAACAACAATCAATTATGCTGTAATTTAATATTGTTAATAAAAATATCATAGACGTATACCATAAACCAAGTAATGTTGTTACTACTTCTGTCATATGTATTTAAAGCATCCTCTGCTTTGGTCTCTGGATATATTGAAACTTTACTCCCAAACAGTTGTTAAATACCTATGTATTGGCTATTGACCTTATTCTCTTGGAATCCCCAACAGAAGCCCAGCACTGGAGTTTCCAGTTCTTCAGCTCCTCAAAGCAGAGGAAGCTTGAAGTTAGCGAAGAACAGGGCTACTGTGTTGACTGAAAAGCCTTCTTGATTTCACATGTCTTTTATAAGTTTCAGAAAGAACTTGGGCCTTGTACTGGTGCAACTGTCCTGTGTAGACAACTTAATGTGAATTTAAACCAATATAGTTTTAAAAGTGCTAACTCCTTTGTGGACACTCCAATTTTAATATAGGAACCACTTACTTCCGATGGTCTTAAATCTATTGAAAATTAGTAAGGTCAAATGGAAAGAAGCAACTTAAAGTAAAATTGTTGATTTAAACTCTATTTTGTTCAATAACTGGTTTAAGTTAAACTGGTGCAACTTTCCAGGGTAGCCTACACTGAGAAGCCAGGGTAGGCTTTAGTTTTGGTTGCCGTTGCAAAATAAATAAATAAATAAAATGAATAAGGAGCACCCGACAGCCTGTTTTCCTTCAAGGATACTTTATAAGGATCAACCATGTGTGTTAGCATGGCCACAGAACCATAGATTATGTGACTGGATTGGCCATTTTACTCCTCTTGTTGCATGCACTCTAGTTTAAGCTGCTGAGATGGGATGACACTGCCAGCCAATTAACATATAAACTGGAAGTTCAAACTAGTAAAATATTATATATCAAATAAAATGCAACAGATATTTCATTGTTGCCACATCATCTCAAGGGATCTAAGGAGGGCAGGAAACAGAACAATATGAATCCACACTTACAATGACTGGTTAAGAAAGTAATTTAGTATAAAAAAATCACACCGTTCTCATTAGTGTTTGCTTTCTATACTCATGATTTCTTCTAAAACAAAATCAGAATGTTCTTTCAGGAGTGCAACCGGCAGGATAAGTTTCATGTTACACATAACTCTTTGGTGAAGCAAATACTGTCCACACAGGAGTACTGCAGTAGGCTCAGGAATTAGGGTTGTTCTGCTATATCTTGGTTGGGGCCAGGATTGATAAGCCTGTGAAACATCCTATCCATACCCTATTTGTAATATAAAGTGAGGTTCCATCCACAGCAATTCAGAGCTGTGTGTTGAAGATGGGGCAGGATGTGGCTACATTGATGCACTGGCCAACACTTCTACAGATGGTGGGGAGAGGAGAATGCGGCTGGATTGGAAGGTTAACATACCACGAGATGGACTGGTATAAAGGGAATACAGGCAGTCCCCGGGTTACGTACAAGATAGGGACTGTAGGTTTGTTCTTAAGTTGAATCTGTATGTAAGTCGGAACTGGCGTCCAGATTCAGCCGCTGCATTGATGCACTGGCCAACACTTCTACAGATGGTGGGGAGAGGAGAATGCGGCTGGATTGGAAGGTTAACATACCACGAGATGGACTGGTATAAAGGGAATACAGGCAGTCCCCGGGTTACGTACAAGATAGGGACTGTAGGTTTGTTCTTAAGTTGAATCTGTATGTAAGTCGGAACTGGCGTCCAGATTCAGCCGCTGCTGAAACTGATCAGTTTCAACAGCGG